AGTTTTTAATCAGACTCTGTATGGTGCTGCTATCTGCTGGTGCTATCGGCAACGAATTAGTTTGCCTTTGTTTCTGAGTGAATCTACCGTCTAAAATCACTATTTCTGAAAATATGTGCGTTTTGCTGAGGGTAGGCTAGGCAATACACGGCAAACTTCTTAGTACGTGTGTACAACAGAATTTTTTTAAAAACCCTAGCAATATTTGGTCAGGAGTTGCTTGAAGCATAGCACAGCGTTGCTGTCTATCGGCATCAGGCCGTTAGTTTGTCAATTATCACGAATTACCCACGAATCGCGAACCCATTCATTTTCCTATGGCAATCTAGCAACTCATTAAAAGTGCACGCATGCGCAATGGGCTAAGCGTGACGTCATGCAGTGCATTTCTGGGGATGGTTGTCGAGTAATTTTGATGAAGTTTTCAGGATAGGTCGGAAATATGCTATTTTGGGATGGTTATTAAGAAAGGAATTTATTAATTGGTTAATTTATTCGTAAAATAATTATTTAATAAATTATCTAAGTAATTTATAATAAGTGAAGATGAAAATTTAGCTAACTTATTACTTAACTAATGTTTAATAAATCAATAATAATGAGAATTGAAAAAAAAGATTAATAGATTAACTCATTAATAAATGCTTAATGAGAATTAATATTGAGTTGCCCTGGGGGAGGTTTGCCCTCCTGGGTGCGTTTCTTGTTAATCTTAGCTTAAATTAGATTGAAAGAGTCGATTTAAAATTTAATACCAACTTTCTTCAGTAAAACAGGTCTCAAGTGTAACAACAAGTCTTTGTAACCCGTCAGTTTTGAGTCATTTTCATCCTGTTTTAAAATCCCATTTAACTAAGACCCCGTTGACACCGGGCTTGATACAGCTTTTAAAACTATTTGGCGATCTCCCAGCGTCTGTCGCAGGAAATCCCCTCGCGGTGGAAAATTTTCTTCAATGAACTCAATGATCTTCGAAGCTGTCTCTTTACGTATCCATCAATCTGCATCAGTATGCTGGGGTTTGCACGGGGTGACACCCGCTAAATTCTTTCAACCACAGATAATCGTAGTGGTCATGGATTGGACGAATTCTCGTGTAAGACGGGTGGCAGCACGTTGTGAACGGGACTTAAACAAGGGCGCACCAACACGGCAATTAAGGCGGACCTTATATTTTGCAGTAGTGGCCTCGACTTGTTTCAAGCACAGCTAACGTATCTAGCCTATTGCACGTAAATCTCACCTTGGTGGTAGCAAACCAGGTATGCCCACAGTGCCCGAACAATCTTATGTAGTTTGTCGCCCATTTTGAACGCTGCGTGTCAACTGGCCTAAACTTTGTTCCCGAGCTACATTACTTCCGTGTTTAACCATTTACCAAACAACCATTTACCTTGTTGAGAAAACTGATTATGTCACCTTGACAGCCGTACTGAGTTTATCGCTGTGACTCTTGCTGTAGAAAAATTAGGGCAGTGAAACCGTGATAGTGAACTGCGTTGATATCAACGTACATGTTATTATCACAATACGCCTCACGTTCAAAAAATCAGCTGGAATGGATATTTTATTATTCGCAGAGTTATGCCTTTCTTTGTGAATCTTTGCCTTTACACAAATTGGCACATTTAAAAAAGGCGGTTTTTATGTCCTGTTTTAAATTTGCTGTAATGGAAGCCAGTCGAGATAACCAAAACGATATTCCTTCACCCACACTTAGTATGAAGTTATTTGACGAGGCGTGCATATCCTGTTGTCCTTTGATGTTTTATATGCATGCAAAGTTTTGGATCAGAACATTCAATACAAATATATCCAATACAAATATATCATAAAAGAATTGACAATAATTAGTTTAAGTAAGATTTTTTTTGTTCAGATCATGCTACTTTTTAAACTTAAATTTAAACAGTCTTATTTTTCTTTATAAAGACATGGGAAGCAAGAAGGCCCATTGAATACTTTTCAAGCTCGCCTCGTCAGAGGATGCGTAGCGTTTTGTAAAGAATATCAAAACAATTAATTTAAAAAAATGCAAATCCATACATTACTTTATTCTTCAACAATTCAAAAATGTGTGCATCTTTTAACAAATCTGCGTGTTTTAATATAGTGAGCGTTGAAAAAGCAAATAACAGAAGTGAATAGGCCAAAGGTCTTTGAAACTAAAATGCGCTGATGTGTACCAGTAGACTTATGACGTCATAATGGTACTTCCTCGGCTTGGCTAATGAGTTCGGGGTGTTTCTCCCAGGAAAACTCTCAGCAATGGTAATAAATAACATCTGAATTAAATCCAATTCTAGCGTTTTTGAATTAGTGCTCCCCCCCCCCAAAAAAAAAAATAATAATAATAAACAAACAAACAAACAAACAAACAAACAATCTATCGAATAAGTTTGACATAGTCAGTAGTTCAACATTTTTCACCCTGTCCAATCTCCGCAGTGTTGACATACACGTCCTCTCTGAAGTCTGATACATCTACATATAACTCTTCACTGGCTGCCAGTGGCTGCAAGATTTGTACAAGGTCTTCAAAACTGGGACGATCACCTGGTTCTGCCTGCCAACATTTCTGCATTATGACGTACCTAAAATGTATTCATCAGTTCATTACATCTTTATTTTCAACTATTAGTACAGTAACCGTGCGTAAGTTAACTTACTATGACAAAGGCAGTCTTGTTTGTATTCAGTTGAAATAACGCTCGTTTCATGTTCATGTCCAACAAAGTCACATCATGGTTAAAAGGACAAAAAGCATTCCGACATAAAAAATACTATTCTGTGTGTGGCATAATATTAAAATTAATTGAGCAAAACATAAATTTACATTATCGGTTCTACAAAACATGAGCCGTTAAAGACTAACATTGTCGAACTAATGGAAATAAAAAACCAGAAGCCAGAAGATGACACTCACACTTGCTGTGTACAGTGGTCTGGTTTCCCCATACGATATCCACTGTGTAACATTCGTGCCAGATCTGCTCCCGGAATACCAGGATACGGAAGACACCCTGATTAGAAAATATATATAGTTATTGGAAATATGCCCAATATATGAATTTAAACCCCAATAGGTTGGGAATGGAAATTCCAAGGTCTGTCAGAAATTGATCAAATTCTGTTTTTATTTAGGTGGAATGAGGGTGAAATGAGTCTACAAAAAGACGACAAATGTTGAATCTCTTCCTATAGTAATATAGTATCTGATATTTACGTACCCAAGGTAACAATTTCCCACAAGAGAACACCAAAGGACCACACGTCACCCTTTGTTGTATACAAATTGTCCATCAGCGACTCTGGCGCCATCCAGCGGACAGGAAGAAGACCCTAGACCAAAGAGTACAGCGAGTATTCATTATCTTTCAGCATCAAAAAATAATAAATCAAGGAAACAACTTTTGTCTCTGTAGTAAACCTTGCCCGTTCTTTAAGTGAAGTGAACATGAATAAAGAAGAGCATGCCTGAGTATGTAAAGTGAATGTAACATCAAAATGTGAAACAAGCTAAACAATTTTGGGATCATCCTGCTCATTTAAAAAATGTATAAGGTTGTTTTAAGTCATTTCCGTTGAAAAAATATATTTATCCACTTCACTAACAAAAAGCATAAACATTTTCAAATTATTTGGTTTATGACATCAAATAAGCATTCAAATAAGGAGGGGTCCCCACCTTATTTCCCCACTAGTTTCAGTAAATAAATTGGTACAATTACGCGCGTACAGTATGCATGTAAACAAGCACGTGATATTCATTTTTTCCATGTGAACAAAGCCAGTATTAAGAAGTTTACCATTGTATTGTACTCATGTTCCCTGCACTGGCTGATGTCCTTCGACAGTCCAAAGTCCGATATCTTACAGGTCAGCTGGTCATCTAACAACACGGTCCTGGTGGCAAGGTCTCGATGGAGTAACTGGACAGTAGATTTAATGACGTTATTATATGATGAACAATGCCAACGGTTAAATCAGGAAACGAATAATCCAAATGCTTTGAACAGACATACGGCACAATCCGTACCATACATTTACCCTAACTTCAATTAAGAAGGTTACCAAATTCCAATGCAACAATCATATATTTAATCAAAAAATGTTTGATTTCCTATTGCAATGTTGATTTTATAGCTGAACATGGTAACTTGGACGACTTTAGGAAGTCCCTGCATTTTAAAATTTGTTTTTAATTTACAAAGAAAATTTGGACCGTCGCATAAGAGATCATGATACGAGATTAATCCTCTACAACTGAGTAAAACTTCAAATTTTCTAAATAATTTCGACAACTCGAGGTTTTAATGTAAAATTTGTCATTACTGTTACCTTGTGTTTTGCCACGTGTGTCATCCCGCTTGCCACCTGGTAGGCAAACCTCATCAGTTGTTGTGACGTCAGCGTGTTGCTTAGGCCGTGAAGGTTTGAGTATTGGCCAGTGCCACGACTGTTCTTTAACAGCTGCTTCAGATTCCCATTGGACATAAACTCTAGGACCATGAGTGCGACACCTGAGTGTTTTAAAGAGTTTATAAAGTTACAAATAATGTTTTGTGCCACCATGCGTACTACTTGCGGTTTCAAAGATAGATCTGGAAATACTGACATTTGGCATTTTAAAATGAGAAGCAAAAGTATTTGTTTTTGCTTTATGTGGGATTTGCATAACTAGAATGGCAAAGAAAATGGAAAACTATCTCCATCTCTCTCGTTCTCAATACCAACCATTCTGTTGAGAAGATCCATAAAACATCACAATGTATGGGTGAGGAGGAAGTGCTTTCATTGACTGTATTTCCTTCTCAAAGCTTGAAACGAGTTCATCTTTCTGTGAGGATTGGTCTGGAATAGAGAACATACTTAGACTTTTAAATAAATAGTAAATATCTAAGTATAAAGTACCAAGATTCATGAAAATCTATAACTATAGCCTAGAACTCCTTCAATGAATATCCACAGTTTTACAAATAGAAGAGCAAAAAAATTCAGCTGATACAATTTAAATCTACATAAATGTATGAAGGTCTGTGGTAGGCTGTGATTCAAAGAAAATGTAGCCTTAGTAAAATGAAAGCATTTAATTTGCGTTAAATGAACGATTAATAACAACACGAATTCAATTCAAACCCAACCATTGAGACGTTTGACGGCAACCGTGCGTGCCTTCTGTCTAATAATTGCCTCTCCCTTCCAAACTTCGCTAATACGTCCTTTTCCAATCTTTTCGTCCAGCCTAATCCTTCCTGGTGGTATGTACAATGATGGCATCTTTCCTCGCAGTTCTGTGTAAGTATCTTCCTGCTGAGATTAATATGACAGTGAACAAAGCGGCAGATGAGTGAATTTTTGCCTGTACAATTCTATATGAGCATGGCAGAGGAATTTGTAGTTTAAAAACCTTTTTTCTGTATTCTCAGATGTGTAAGATTTTAGGAGCTTCTTATTTCTTCAATAGTGAAACGTCCCAGAAGAACCGTATATACACTGTACGAACCATAAGCCTCTGTCTAATGAAAACAAGAAGCAGCCTCTATTAACTACCTGGTTGGTATTATTACCTTACTTTTAACTTCTTTTATGTCTAGCAAAGCGTATTCATTGTTGCTTTCCGTAACATCCACGTCAACTGTATCACCAGGTTGTCTATTCTTCCAAAATCTATGCAGAATGCCTCTCTACAAAAGGAAAAGTATTAAAAATAACATACAAATAAATAAATGCCCTGCATAACAAAAAATACACTCATGTCTACACTCTTTTTTGTTTCATAATTGATCTTATCTTGAAAGATTTAAACAACATGTGACATGTTTAAAACAACATGTGACACTCATTTGTTTGACCATAATAACGATATTTTGTCCAAGGTTTGACTTTCTCATCACAATAAAATAACTTATGATTTTTTTCTTACCGTGGCACTTAAGTTTCATTAAAATATATGACTGTTATAAATTATTTTTTCTACTCACACGATACAAGACAAATAAAACAACCGCGGCTCCAAGTAATATTATCACTTCTGCGACAACTGTCCCAACTATCACACCTAGATGATGCACAATAATAAATGACAGAAATTAGTGACTTACAAAAACACAAAGGTGTATTAAAGCAAAACAACATTAGATTTAATTCAAAACAAGAAAAAATACAGTGCCTTAAATATTTTTAAATTGTGCCCATTGTATCATGGGCAATGTTTAAAAACATACCTATATCTTCTGGACTATAATGAACCTCGCCTCCTTTAAGTTTGCCTGCTCCTACTGCAACATGTTCTGTTTTCGTTGTTGCTATTGCAACATGTCCTGGTGTCGTTGATGTAACTGCAACATGTACTGGTGTCGTTGATGTTGTCGTGGATGTTGTTGTTGTTGATAACGTGGAAGATTGCTCTATCAAGCATAGTGCAACAAGAAATTGGATCAATTGGCTCTGTTTTATAAAACAAACGGCTTCCATTTTTGACTAAATCATTTCAGTCATTAGGTCTTTACATCTGTACGTTGAAAGGAAGGAATTTCAGCACTTTTCTCTTAATAAAGAACGTACCTAGTTCCTGTCCACAACCGTTCAAAGAATTGCTACCATGCACAAATCCTTTTCTGAATTCTGAATTTCTAGACTTAGATGGAGACTAGTGGATTTTTATTTCGTGACAATTTTTATTGCAATTTTCTAAATGGTTTTGGATACGGTCTACCTTGGTAATAAACTGAAATTCACAATGTAACCCTCTTGATTAATTTCTTAATTTTTTCTTTCTTCTTATTTTTTTTCTATTCTCTCTCTCTCTCTCTTTTTTTTTTTTTTTTTTTTTTTGTTAAATAAATCGTTAAAATTGTTTCTTTTTAAAATATTTTTCGTCAAATGCACTGGATGTTATGAACTCATTTTCACATCAATGTCACATTAAAATGTGGTGGAAAAAAAACACATGTATCACAAGGTAAAGTTATGATGAAAGAAAGATGATTTGAAAATTTTATCCGCCTCTTTTAATTACAAACCACCACCTAAATGGTTTTCCAAAATTGATTATATATGCACATATATTATGCACCCCCTACCTTGCACTATCACTGTGACACCTGTTGAAAATGGTGTTGTCGTCAAACTGTTGGTGGCAAAGCAAGTATACACATAAGTTCCAGTAGCGGACAGTGTCAGCACAAGCTGAGAGCCAGTAGAGTTGGTATTATCTGGACTGGTCCACACATAGCTTGGACTTGGATTGCCGCTTGCCTGACAGTTGAGAGTAAAAGTTGTTCCCTGCTCAACTGTCCATGTACCAGTGGATGATGTCACCGTTGGCCCCTGTCGTACTGGGTCTGAAATATAATGAGCAAAATATTTAAGTAAAGTAAAAGTCAAAAGTAGAAAGAAAAAGATTCATCGTTCTATTTTTGTATAGAGAAAGTGAAAATACAACAAATAATTACAAATCAAAACCATTTTTGGTACTTAGCTTAAACAGAAAAGATATCAAACAATGCAATATTAAAAACTCTTTTATAAACGTCTTTCTGGGTAACATGAATGGATAAATTAAATGCAAAAAAAATCTTTATGGCAACTGAACAAAATTGAAGATGAAAAAGGTTTCTATAATTTAATCTGGGGACACTTCTGACATAAATTCTTAGATATAAAATACTTACATTGTACATCCAGTGTATACCTTCCTTGCTTTGTGGAGTCTCCAATCGCTGGAGAGTTTGGTTCAACAACACATGTATACATAACTCCATCATCCTGGGACGTCGGTAAAATACTCAGACCACTAACTCCATTAAAGGTACAGCCATCACTATTGATGCTTGTCTGCTGAGTAAATCCAGTGGTGATTTCTTGATCGGCTTTGTACCACTTCATGATGCCTGGTGGTCGCCCAATGTTACTGGCTGTACAGGTCAGGGAGGCATGCTGGCCTGCTTGCAACTGACTTGGTGAGGATGATATCGCAATATTATATCCCAGGAAATCTAGAATCGGAACAACAGTTTACCACCACGAGCGCCCTGCTGTGCATTTAAATAATGGAAATAAATCAAGGTACTACTGGTTGGTTTTAAAAGAATTTGGATTATTCACAATTTATAAAAGAAAATTTACATGAACATCATACTTACTTACTCAGAGCACTAAATGTAGATCTGACAAAGAAATATGCAATTGTTGACTTCTTTCCAAAGAAATGCCCTAAAATCTGAATGACATTAAAATGGTTAATGCTTTTAAAAATCCATTTGAAATCATTTTGAATCTTTCTGGACAGATGGATTTAAAATAGGACATTTTAATTTTTCTATATTCCACTAACCAAATAGATTCACGTTGAAACTTGCTGTTCCACTGTCGTCTTGTAGTGCATCAGCAGTGATATCACACGAATACTCTGCTATATCATTTGGACACTGTAATCCTGACAATGTTATTGATGTACTAGTACTTGTAGAGGTTAGAGTGCCCAGTGCCACACGGCCCCTTAAACTTGCTTGTGGATACCGTGGTGCAAAGTAAGGTGTTGTGGCAGTTGCTATCACTGCAGACCCTTGTCTCCAGTTTACTCTCAGAGGACTAATCCCAGCTGGTGGCGTCCACCGACATGACAACGTGGTTTGTGATCCTGCTTGAACATAAGTCTCTCCAGATTTTGCCACGTTAAACGAAAGAACTGGAAAAGAATTCATTTCATGTTTTGAAATATCGACCAACTGACACGATCTACCCCCGTTATTAAGAAAAAATAGCAAACGCGATCTCGGATTTGACCGTTGTGACAGGAATGGTTGTCCGCTAGGAATCGCGTTCTGCGTAAACTGCACCTTGGAATATTTGGCATAAGTAGCCTCTGTTTTCCAGATGATGTATCTAACCCATAAATTCCACATAAAATCTTACCTTGGTGGCAGCAAACCAGGTATGCCAACAGTGCTCTCACAATATTATATAGTTTGTCGCCCATTTTGAACGCTTCGTGTCAACTGAGCTTCACTTTGTCCTCAAACTGTACTAATTCCGTGTTTTATCACTCACCTAACGACAGCGTGAATGTTTAGAAAAGAATGATAAGGTTTGACATTAGGTCAACTGTCACGCTCAGCTTATCGTTGTGACTTTTGGTGAAGGTAATTTAGGACACTGACATAAGACTGTTTATAACAACGTAAATGTTCTCAAACTCACAATACACCTCAAGCCCGAAAATCAGCTGGAATGGATATTTTTATGTCTTTGTTTGTGAATTTTTGCTTTTCCACAAAGTGGTCTATTTTAAAAAGTCGGTTTGTATCCCTTTGGATAGTAACACCAGTCAGATTTTGAATTTGCTGTACTAGAAGGCATCCGAGATAGCCTACAACAAAGTTACATATCGTCACAACAAATTCCCTCAGCCATACTCACTGTGAAGTCATTTGCGTTTCCTTTCAATGTTTTTTATCTGTTTGATGTGCAATTTTGACAAAAAACTTTAAAGAGAAGAAATATCATAGAAGAATTAGCAATGTTAAATGGAACGTAATTTAGGGCACGTGTCTTCTAAACCAATATTAAAACCAATATTGCTGACACCAGATTGTAATTCACAACCAAGTATTGGACTAAATTTTGTGCTAAAATTTCACTTAGTCACTACGAGAAAAACGGACCATTTGAAAGTGTGTTATATTGCTTGAAAATAAAAAAATGTGCTAATTTCTGTGAACTTGTCTTTTAAACAAGTTGCTGCGTCCACCGACAGCACGAAAAAATACTTTACAAATAAATATTTCACTTTGTTGGGAATCGTAGATATTTGCATTTCTCGAACTTGATGTGGTCATTCTTCATTATCGTTTTCTCACTGCTGAACTTCTTAAAACCCTTAAAAGCACAGGACATCTGCGAAGAAATACATATTTATTGCGAAGCTTATAAAGTCCAGCTTCTTTCCCAAGATATAAACATTTATTATGAAAAGCAGGACTTCATTGTCAGGATATACAAGAAATGTCCTTACCAAAGATAAGGACATAAGTTTAGATCGAGTAAACACAAATCTGACAGATAGAAGAGATTCATGCTAAGTTTTATTTCTGGATCATTGAATCAAATGAGATTCTACCTGTAGATAGCAGGAAAAGCCTAAAATACACTTGCCGTGTAGGCCATGTAGGAAAAATATCAGTTTATCGGTTGAAAAGTGATCGTTCGGAACCCTTTCTATTCAGCCTCAATGCAGCTGCCTTCCGTGCCATCGATGCTTTGTCGGTACAGCCCACTACGGTTTTTAATCCACGAGGTCAGAATAAGAAATTTGAACTACACTAAATTTTAAGTTATGCCCCCCCTCCCTAAAACAAGCAAAGAAGGAAGGGAAAGAAACCAACAAGTTCAACCAGTCCATTAACATGATCACTGCAAGTTCCCGTGAGGGCACTGTGCGATGCCATCTACAATAATAATACTGCCTCTACGAGCTTTTAAAATTCTGTCAAAAGTTTAAGCTGGACAACATCACAGAGGCTGTGCCCTCTCATTGTGCCCTTTTCACCGTAGTATACTTGGGACTATTTTTGTTTAATATAACCTCAGTAATATCATGAAATAACAACATGAAAGCAAAAGTAAGTGTTTATGCACCTAAATGTGAGTGATAATACTTACAGCTGTTTTACCACATACTAATTAAAAAAAAATACAATTTCTTTTTCACACAAATTACGAACAGGCAGCCTGTGAAATCATTTTGACTGAATAGTCGTCCGACCAAGACTATTTTAAGCGTTTCAGCTTGTATAAACAGCTTTAGTTTTCGACAAAATCACTATCAAAACACTGGCGTGTGATAGTTGGCAATCCTTTCTTTGTAGCTTAGCCGTGTAGTTTTGATAGATTAGAACCCATTTTAGCGTCAGCTGTTTACATCAGCGTTTTAAAATCTACACATTAATTTTCTTTCTCATTCTGTTCTTTGTCCGGCCGAGGAATTGACGTTCTTTTCCCCAGCTCTGATGATGTGGATGTCTCATTCGTTAACCGTCCTGCGCACTTCTCATTTTCTTGGTGGTGTATTGAATGACGTCATCCTTCCTTGAAGTGCTGCGTAAGTGTGATCCGGCTGAAATGTGTATAAAAATGAATTATTTTTTGCAAGACAGAAGGTGTTTCATGGCAACTTACTACCAAATAGTAAAAGGCCCAAATATATCACGTATTTCTCCGCAAAACACCAGGCGAAAAGAACTTTTTTGGCTCTGCACTACAAAGTAAGACACCGTTTTAAATCTAAACAAAACAAGTGGATTCTTTCTACTACCTGGTTGGTATTATTACCTTACTTATAACTTCTTTTCTGTCTAGCACGGCGTATTCATTGTTGCTTTCCATAGCATCCACTTCAACAGTATCACCGGATTGTCTGTTCTTCCGAAATCTATGCACCATGCTCCTCTACAAATGAAAAATATCAATGATACAGTATATCCATACTACCACAAAATGAACACGCAAGTCTGAAGTCAACTTTTGCTTCAGTTATGTAAATTCTCTTGAATATATTTTAAAAGATCGTGTTAATAAATCTAAATAACTTTAGCACAGCCGTAAAAATATATATTTTCTTGCAGGAAGACCAAAGTTAAATAAACTTGTTAATTTTTTCTACTCACATGATACAGGACAAATAAAGCAACCGCAACCCCAAATGTTATCACCACGGCTGCCACCACTGCGCCAACCAACACGCCTAAGAGATACAAAATCTTGAAATAAAAAGGCACATTGACGCAAAACAACATCAAATTAAACAAAACAACGAAAACAACAATTTGAATCATAGTACACCAAATACGTTTTAAAATATTTGATCCACTATATTTTGGGTCAAAGATTAAACACATATCTTTTTTCAGCCCCGCCAATTACCTGTGCTATGTAGACCCTCGCCTCCTGTACATGTGAGTGTGTCTGTTGATGATGCTACTGCTACTGGTGCCATTGATGTTGTCGTGGATGTTGTTGTTGTGGTGGTTTTCTCTATCAAGCATAGGACAACAAGAAATTGGATCAACTGGCTGTAAGTTTAATAAAACAAACCGCTTCCATTTTTGACTAAGTCATGTTTGTCACTAAATCATAACATTTGCACTTTAAAAAGGAAAGGAAATTTCAGCACTTTTCCCTTAATAAAAAAGGTATGTCCTGTCCGCAACCGTTTAGACAATTGTTACCATGCTCAAAACGTAAATTTCTAGACTTATATGGGGGCCGTGGATTTCACTCGTGGCAGTTTTTTTTTTTTTCAGTTGCGAAACATTTCACGGTGTGATAAAGGTATGAGCACCTTGGTGACTGGGAAGACCTTGCCTGGATGTCTGGTAACAATGCTTATCTTTGCACTGCTTTGCTCTGCTTTGAGTTTTATCTCTCAATGCAACAGATGGAGATAGCAGCACTAGGGGTCCCTTGAAACCCTGTTTTTAACGAACCCCTTCTTAAACACAAATACCAATAAAAAACCCTGGAGATATTTCATAAAGGGTGACCTACTTTTCCAATTTTGATATAGCACCTACCTTGTACTGTCACTTTGACAGGTGTTGGCAATGGTGTTGTCGTCAAACTGTTGGTGGCAAAGCAAGTATACAAATACGTTCCAGTAGTGGACAGTGTCAGCACAAGCTGAGAGCCAGTGGTGTTGGTATTTTCTGGACTGGTCCACACATAGCTTGGACTTGGATTGCCACTTGCCTGACAGTTGAGAGTAAAAGTTGTTCCCTGTTCAACTGTAAATGTACCAGTGGATGATGTCACCCTTGGCCCCTGTCGCACTGGGTCTGAAATATGCAATATATTGAAAAATAAAATTCTTAATTGTGTACAGAAAAGAATAAAATGTTCATATAAAATATAATATACACAGTTTCACAAAACAAAAATCTAGCAAAGATGTAACAAATAATAATAAATCAAAGGAAAGATGATAAACAATGTGTAATGTAAGTCTTGCGTGGGTAACACATATGAAATGACAATCAAAATGTGTATAAATATAAAATTGCAGTTTAAACACAAATTTAAAGACGGGATAGAATACTTACATTGTACATCCAGTGTATACTTTCCTTGCTTTCTGGAGTCTCCAGTCACTGTAGAGCTTGGCTCAACAACACACTTATACATAACTCTATCATCCTGGGATGTCGGTGAAATACTGAGAGTACTAAGCCCATTATAGGTACAACCATCACTATTGATACTTGTCAGCTGAGTAAATCCAGTGGCGATTTCTTGATCACGATTGTACCACTTCATGATGCCTGGTGGTCGCCCAATATTACTTGCTGTACAAGTCAGGGAAGCATGCTGGCCTGCTTGTAGCTGACTCGGTGAGGATTTGATTGTGATGTTGTTTCCAAGGAACTCTGCAGCGAGTTTAAGAGAGATAAAAACCATTCGGTTTTCAATGTTAGAAGAGTCAATTATTACAAACGAACAGATACATTCATAATTCTTAAAATATTTTGAAATATGCATAATATATCATTCAAACCTTCTTTTCCAAAATAACCTTCAAGTCCATCTAAATGGCATCAAAATCATGTCAATTATAAATCATTTTGGTGGTCAAATTTTTATTGAAAAAATAGTCGTTTTACAAAACCTAGTTAATTTGGAGAAGCGAAATTTATTTAGGTAGTTACTTTTTCTATCGTTCAGAATTTACAAAACGAAACATCATACGTACTACATGTACAAGTACTTACTGTTACTACAATATACATGTATCATTCACTGAAATATGTTATTTTCCAAATATGACATTTAAACCGTATGAATGGAATCAAAAAGCTTAGCGTTCATGTACGTCTGACACTATTTTATGCTATCACGTGCTTTCACGCTAAAAAATTATATTTTATACAACACTTACCAAATAGATCCACGTTGAGACTTGCTGTTCCGCTACTGTCTTGTAGTGCAGTAGTGAACACCTCACATGAATACTCAGCTATATCACCTGGACACTGTAATCCTATTATTGTTATTGATGTTCTGGTACTTGTAGAGGTGAGAGTGCCCAGTGTTACACGGTCTTTTACACTAGAGTCAGGATATATTGGTGTATAGTTAGGTAAGATAGCACCAGCTATCATTGTAGAACCTTGTCTCCAGTTTACTCTAAGAAGATCAACCCCAGCCGATTTTGTCCACTGACATGTCAACGTAGTCTGTGATCCTACTCCGATATAAGTCTGTCCAGATTTTGTCACGTCAAACGTAAGAACTGAAAGAGAATTTATTTCATATTTTGAAATAAAAAAAAAATACACGATCTACCCCGATATAAGAAAAAATAGCAAACGTGATCTCAGATACGACTGTTGTGACAAGCATGAAAGTCCGCTAGGAATCGCAGTCCGTTCGCCATCGTACAGGTGACATCCGTCCCATATACTAACTCCAATACTCAGACTAACCTATACTAGTCATATAGGAGCCCGGACTTCCATTCCTAGGAAAACCATTCCTGTCACACATAGCTTGTTATACAGCTCAGAGACAGTCCAGCGTACATCGTGGGGAATCCCCTTCTCACTGGAAAGTGGTCCTCAATTCATTAGGAGCTGGAAAGAGGTCTCCAAATGATCTCGATAGTCTTCGCAGCTATATCTCTATGTCTCCGGCATTCTGCGTCAGAAGTCTAGTTTTATAAGTGTATGACACTCGCTGAAGTCTTGCGACCAGTGACCGTCTCACCGTTTATGAATGGGTTGCATCCACATGTAAACGGGACTTACACAAGAGCGTTCAGTGCTCCTCGGAATATTTGGCAGTAGTTGCCTATATTGGTCTATATTTGCTTCCAGCTAACGTATCTACGGCTGTATGTAGCCCTTAAGTTGCAAGTGAATCTTACCTTGATGGCAGCTAACCAGGTATACCCACAGTGCTTGCACAATATTATGTAGTTTGTCGCCCATTTTGAATGCTGCGTGTTAACTGACCTCAACTTTGTCCTCGAACTGTATTACTTCCGCGTTTAACCATTCGCCTAACAACAGCGTGCTTGTTCAGAAAACATCGACAAGGTTTGACATGAGGAGGTCAAGGATCACAATGAGCTTACCATTGTGACTTTTGGTAAAGGTAATTTAGGACAGTGAAATAGAACTGTGTTGATATCATCGTAAATGTTCTCAAACTCACAATACACCTCAAGTTCGCAAATCAGCTGGGATGGATATTTTTCACAGAGTTATGTCTTTGTTTGTGAATTTTTGATTTTCCACAAAGTGGTCTATTTTAAAAAGTCGGTTTGTATCCCCTTGGATATTAACACCGGTCTGGTTTTTAATTTGGTGTACTAGAAAGCATCCTAGAGAGCCTAAAACAAAGTTAGATATCATCACAAGAAATTCCCTCAGCCATACTTACTATCAAGTCATTTGACGAGATGTGTTTCCTTTCATGGTTTTTATCTGTTTTACACTGATGCGCAATTTTGACTAAAAAAATCTTTAAAGAGAACATACATCATAGAAGAATAAGCAATGTTAAATGGAACGTTATTTAGAGCACGTATCTCCTAAACCAAAATGAAAACCAATTGCTGGCACCAGATTGTAGTTCACAACCAAATCTCGAACCATGCTTAAACTGTGCTAAAATTTAACTTACTACCAGAAAAACGGACAATGTGAAAGTGTGTTATATCGCTTGAATGTCGATAATTGCATAATTTTAAGTGAACTTTAAACGAGTTGCTCTGTCCACCAACAGCACGAAAAAACTTTACAGATAAATGTTGTCACTTGGTTGGGAACCGTAGATATTTTCATTTCTCGAACTTGATGTGGTCATTCTACATTATCGTTTTCTCTCTGCTGAACTTCTTAAAACCCTTAAAAGCATAGGAAAACATCGCGAAGAACTGCATATTAACTGCATATTGCGAAGGTTATTAAGTCCAGCTTTTAGCCCAAAAGATAAATATTATTGTGAAAAGCAGGACTGTATATTAGGGATATCTAAACGTCCTCATCAAAGACAAGGGGTCAAGTAAACACAAATCTACTAACAGATAGAAAAGATTCATACTAGGTTTTATTTCTGGATCATATATCGCCTAACTGAGATTCTACCTGTAGATAGCAGAAAAAGTCAAGATTACATTTGCCATGCAGGTCATGTAGAAAAAAAATGAGTTTTTCTGTTGAAAAGAAATCCTACGGAACCCTTTCAGTCTCAATGCAGGTGCCGTAAGCCTTCCTCTTGGTACAGCCCTCTACGATTTTTTCCTCCATGTTGTCAGAATAAGGCAACTGTGAATAACACTAAATTTTAAGAGAAAGAGACCAATGTTAAGTTCAACGGTAATTCCACCGAACATGTACAATTACCACAAGTCCACCAAACAATGCCCTCACGGGAACTGTGCAATGCCATCTATGATAATGATACGGCCTACGAGTTTACGATTTTTTAATTTTGTCATAAGTTTAAGCTTGAAAAAATCATAGAGGCCACGGAGGCCGTGTATCTTTCACCGTGTCCTTTTCTCCGTAGTACACTCGACACTGTCTTTATTTAATATAACCCTCGGTAATATCATGAAATAAATAATATTAAAGCGAAAGCGAGTGTTAATAAACTTAAAATGTGAGTGATAATACCTACAGCTGTTTTCCGTAAATATAATTTCTGTCTCACAGAAATTAAGAATAAGCATCCGAAATAATTTTGATTAAACATTGGCCGGGCCAGGACTATTTTTAGCATTTGAGCTCATATAAAAACAGTTCTAGTTTTCGACAAAATCATTATCAAAATACGATGTCTTTTCGTTGTTTTGGTAGCTTGGTAGTTTTGACAGATTGGACACCGTTTTAATGTCAGCTGTTAACATCGGCGTTTTGAAATCTGATAAATTTTTTTTCTTTCTAATTCTGTTCACTGTCCGGCCGAGGAATCGACATTCTTTCATCCAGTGAAGAAGATGTTTATGTCGCGTTCGTTTACTGTTCTACACCCTTCTCCTCATTATCTTGGTGGTGTATTGAATGATGTCATCATTCCTTGAAGTGCTGCATAAGTGTGATCCGGCTGAAATAAACGTGTGGATAAAGAATGAAATATTTTTTCAAGACGGAAGGTGTTTCATGGCAGCTTTTTATCAAATAATAAAAGACCCAAATATACCACGTGTATTTCTCCGTCCAATAAAAGTCAGGAGTCCAACAATAGGACAGTGAGCAAAAGACCAGATTAATTCAATTTTTTTTTGTCTATTAATACAAAGTAAACACGTGGATTCTATCTACTATACCTCATTAACATCTGGTTTTCTTTCTAGCATGGCGTATTCATTGTTGCCTTCCGTAACATCCACTTCAACAGTGTCTGCAGATTGTCTATTCTTCCAAAATCTATGCAGAATGCCCCTCTACAAAGGGAAAACGTCAATGCCACTTGTGCAATGTACATCCAGTGCATAACAAAATGTTCACACTAGCCTGTTATTTATTTATTTATATACCTTCTCTTCAATATATTTCAAAAGATTGCGTTAATGAAACTTTGACTTTTGCATCACAATAAGATATTTTATGGAATATCTAACCAGAAGACTACAGTGAAATAAAATATAACTGTATAGTTTTTTACTCACATGATACAGGACAAATAAAGCAACCGCAACCCCAAGTGTTATCACCACTGCTGCCACAACTGCGCCAACCAACACGCCTAAGATATGCAAAATTGTAAAATAAAAACAACATCAAATTGAACAACACAACGAAAAGAACATTTTGCATCAAAGAACTCCAAATACGTTTTAAAATATTTGATCCACTGTTTTTTGAGTCAAAGATTAAACACATAGGATTTCATGGAGAAATTGACAAAGCCACTATTTCTGTGAAATTATTAATATTTTAAAATCTTTGTTAAAAAATCTAATCAGTCCATTGTCAATATTATTAGCGACTGCACTGGATAGAACCCTAGGGCAACTTTTTACATCATCCTTGTGGCTCTGTGACATCTGGTTTACGCTTTGCCGAATGTCAACCAATTGGAGCATATCGTGCAATAGGTTGACCTTGACAAGACCTATTTTCCTAAAATTGGGTCACATGATATAGAATCAATGTGTGACCTCACCTTTGAAAGGATTTGTCAAAATGTTGAAAATTCTAGGAAATATTGCATTTTGAAATTTGCAAAAAATTCACTTTAAAAGGCTCTGTGACCTTGAAAATTAGGTCAAGGTCAATTAAACTGGATAATCCGGAATAACTTTTCATAGGCTATCAGTATGAATTTTTTCAGAATTTTAGAAAGAAATTTTTGGACGAGAAATAATAAGAAGAACAGCAAAAACAATGGTATTTCCCTATGGGAAATCCTAATAACTCAAACGAAAGATGACAAACAATGTGTAAGTCTAT